TTTTAAAGACCAAGGAGTGATGGTTAACTCTTGATTATTTCTTACCTGCTTGGCCAGATCTTAAATTATCTAAACCTTCTCCTCCCTTCTGTGGCTCAGGACTTTGTTTTCCAGTTCATCAACCCTCGGAACCTCCAAGGTGAGCAGGAAAAGGTGAAAGGTGCTAAAGTTCACATCTGTTCATCTGGCCACTTGCTGTATTAGCTGGTCTTGGTACCACATGTCTTCCTTTCTCTTCCCAGTTAATAAACTGGGAGTGGGTATCTAATGATGATTTCCTGGAATTTGTTGCTGACATCACTTTAACACTTTAGAGTTCTGCCCTGGCCTTGCTCAGCCAAGTTATATTCATTTGTTTCTTTAAATGTCTACTATAAATCACTTTGCTTATTCTTCTTCCTTTTCTTTTCTTAAGTGGAAGATAAATTAAAGGACAGGGTTTCTTACCACTCCAACATAAAGCTGAAGCCCAAGGGAGAACAAGACTTAACAGCTAGGATTTCAGATGTTTGGGGCCCTCCACTCATCAACAGATCACATGCATTTTAAGCATATGTTAAAACCAAACAGTGAAAACCACCCAAAGGGCACATTACAAACATTTCAATGGGCTCAGTGCAACACAGTCATGACCAAGTAGAGTGAGACCCTAGGTCTCCAACAGGCAGAATGTGACCAAAATCTGGTTCTGATGTTTCCTAAATGTCAGGTTTTGCCAGTGGAGGAAACAAACAAACAAACAAACAAAAAAACAAAATAAAAGACTGGTACTGCAGAGCTGCTAATGAAAACAATTCAGAGAACATAAATGCCAGAATAATTTTGGACCCACCATGTCGGGCTGGTTTCAATGCAAATGTAGTGTTCCGATTTCTCCCTTCATTGGGAAGGTATAATTAGCTCAGCTGCAACAGGGTGGATGCCTGGAGGCAGCCATTTCCTGGTGTTACCAGCTCCCCTGTAACGAAGGAACAGCTGCCACCCACCCCTCCTGCCATGAATTACACAGAGACATGGCTATCCCTCAAGGCTGCTTATAAGCCACCATGAACGGAAGGCTTGGACTTCTAGTGGGAATGGTTCTTGCTTAAAGATAAAGAACATTTTATGCAGTTCAGTTGACTCTGTGCCCAATCACCATTTTTCCACATAAGATAATCCTTGTCAGAAAACAAAAACCAAAACAAACAAAAAAACCCACACACAACTGTCTCCCATTACTGCTACGGAAAGAATTTTTAACATTGGTGATGACAGCTCACATTAGCTAAAGCAGCTTCTCACCTTGGAGTTCAATGCAGAGTGTTGAAGAGGATAGGGAGAAAATAATGAAAAAATTAAAAAAAAAAAACTACTTAAGGTGCCGGCAAATGAGAAACCTGAACTGTAAGGAGAACACATTACCCCAGCTATGGTGACAGAGAAGTTGAAGAGACACCGTGAAGGGGATGGGTCCAAGGTTAAGCTTTTAAGCGCCCCAATAGGTGAATGACTGATGTAAAAGCAAGAGTGCTCTGGGACTTAGCCAATGCAGGAGACACTGGAGTTCTCCTGCAAAACAGATCAACAGCTTCTGCTTGTCCACTTGACCAACTCAACAGAATGGACCCCATCAATATGTCAATAAGCAAACATCTCCCAAGAGCCAGTTCTATGATGGCAAATACTCACTTTCACGAAACGAAAAGGTGAACCATCATTCTGAAATTCTAGACAAGGCAAAATCAAGTGTCATTTCCTTGTTTCCCTAGGCTGCTAGCAAATTGTCAGGTTTTGCATCCATCATTCACCTCCCTACGCAGTCCTGCCCATTCCCATCTGCAACAGAGGCCATTGCGAGGCTGGTTCTTTCCCCTCATCCTGAATGGAAAAACCAAATAAAAACTAACCCTGCAACTGCAAATGAGTAGTGACCATGGGGGGCTGGGGGGTGGGGGTGAAATTAACGTGGCATCTGGAGCACATTTCTTAGTGACTCAGCCAGTTCCAAGATCATGTAACAAATAAAGGAACTGGGAATTGTTATTCTTCTGATCATTTCAGAAGAAAGTACTTCAGAATATTGTCACCTAAGTGGAGGACTTTCTTTTTAACAGATAATAAAATATGGTACGCAGCAAAGTCCAGTGTTTTTACAATGTGTAAATAAATGACCAAGACTAATTTCTTATGTTCATAATGATGGTCACTGTTTTACTATTATTTTCCTTTTCAAGCTTTTTTTTTTTCTCTTTTTTGAGATATAATTCAGGTACCATAATATTTAGCCTTTAAAGTGAAGGATGCAGTATTTTTTCAGTATATGATTAATGTTGTACAATTGCCACCACTGTATATAGTTCTAGCACATTTTCATCACCCTCAAAAGAAACCCTGCACCCAGTAGCAGTCAATTCCCATTCTTCCTCCCCCCATCTCCTGGTAACCACTAATGTTAGTGCCTCTATGGATTTGCCTCTTCTGGACATTTCATATAAATGGAATCACACAGTATGTGGTCTTTTGGGTCTCACTTCTTTCAGTTGGCACACTGTTTTAGAGGTTTATCTGTGTTGCAGCATGAATCAACACTTTATTCTTTTGTACTGCTGAATAATATTCTACTGTATGGATTACCACATTTTGTTTATTTATTAATCAGTTGATGGACAGTCAACTTGTTTCCACTTTTTAGCTCTTAATAATAATACTACCATGCACATTTGTGTTCAAGCTTTTGGGCAAACATATTATTTCAGTTCTCTTGGGTATATGCCTAGCAGTAGAATTACTGAATTACATGGTAACTCTAGGTTGAACATTTTGAGGAACTACCAAATGGTTTTCCAAACCAGCTACACCATTTCATATTCCCACCAGGAGAGTACCAGGGTTTCAATTTCTCTACATCCTGGCTAACACTTGCTATTGTAGTCATCTCAGGGGGTGGGAAATGGTATCTTATTGTGAGTTTTCTTTGCATTTTCCCTAAAGACTAATGATGTCACCCATCTTTTCATGTGCTTGTTGACCACGTGGATATTGTCTTTGGAGAAATGTCTATTCAGAACCACCTTCTACTTTTGAATGGAGTGATTTTATCTTTTTATTGTTGAGATTTGGGATATTTTTCTTTAAATTATTTTTGGAGATTCCTAGAGAGGAGGATGCCAGGTTCCATCCAGTTAAGTCCTAGCTTTGGGAATGAAGTGTATGTGTATTGATTTGGGTAATAATTAGGTGGAAAAACTTATTGAGCACTCACTTTTTGTGTCAGGCATGTTGAACCCTTTACTAATACTGTGGAGAGAAAGCCTTTGCCTGGACCACATGTCCCTTCCTTGGGTGCTCATCAAGAACAGCAAAGCTTTTCCTCAGAGAATCATCCATGTGTTTCCCTGCCCCATCAAGGAAGGGAGAACTTTCATCAAAGTGTAGAACTAGCAGAGGAGACACCTCTTTTGGTAGGTAAAATCTCCCCCATGTTTTAGATATCTTGAACAAACTAGTCATTGATTTTAAGCTACATTTTGAACACTTGAAGTTAAGAGTGTGCTCCCATCTCCTGAAAATGCACCCAAGAGAATCCTTTTCCATGTGGTCTCTATTGCTTTTTGCCATACAAGATGTAAACAATGCTTATCAAGGTGACCAAGAAGAAAAGCACCACAAAACAGTCAAATGAAGAATAATGGAGCACGACAATAGATTCATTTTCTTACACTAATTATAGCAAAGTTCACTCCACTAAAATGCAGAGGCCATAGAGGTGAGCAACGCTGTAGGAAGGGGGATAGGAAATAAACTGAGAAGGTGCCTCCTCAAAAATAAATAACAATGAGAAGAGCAAAGCTAGCATCTTCACCAGCCCTACCCTATTATGAAAGGTAGCCAGTTCTGTGCTTTATGCTCTGAAGCTACAGACACCAGGACATTTACTCCCTTCCTTCATTCTCCCTTCCTCTCTCCTGGAAAAACAAGCAAAACACGCAAGAAAATCAAATTGAGGGTTGATAGAAAATTAAATCGAAGTGGTAGAACACCACCCCGAATCTGCACTCTAAATATCACAACTTCAACATTTCCAGAAATTCCCTTTTCTCTCATGTCTGAGTTCTAAAATCTCAGTTAACAAAGTTAACATATCCTGGGGGCCAGTTCTAGGTCATCAGTGGATTCGAATCACTGTCTATAACTCTGCCTCTCAGTGATTTCAGTGGTGGAAACACCAGACAAGCTGTGTGGAAGTGTCTAAGAACAGGCAGGACAGAACTTCTTCCATCTCACCAAGTTAAACCGCTTTCAACCAAGGTGGTGCTTGGAGGGAACTTCCAAAGTCCAGTGTACTATTATTTATGTGAACAAGTTCACTTCAGTTCAAATCTCAAACAAAAGCTCCAGACATAATTTCACAGAATCAAAGCCAAACCTCAGCATCCTTTAACCTCACCAGGAATTCCCCCAGGCCCTCAGGTTTCTCTGGAAGGATTCTCACACTGAGGACTTCACTCTTGGAGATCTCACCCACCATGCTGGAGTGCCAAGAGCAGGGTGGGTGCTATGGACTGACCTGTGTCCCCCAAAAATTTATATGTTGATAACCTCACCTCCAGGATCTCAGAATGTGACTGTATTTGGAGATAAGACTTTAAATAGGTGATTAAGTTAAAATGAGACCATTAGGGTGGGACGCAATCCAATCTGACTGGTGTCCTTAAAAGAAGAGGAAATTTAGACATCAAGGGAAGGATTAGGAGGCCACACACACATAAAAACCATCCCATGTGAGGACACAGTGAGAAAGCTGCCACTTGCAAGCCAAGGAGCAAGACCTCAGAAGGAACCAAACCCACTGACACCTTGAGCTTGGACTTTCAGCTTCCGCAGCCACGAGAAACACATGTCTGTTGTTGAAGCCACCCAGTCGTCATACTTTGTTAGGACAGCCTCAGCAAACAAATACAGCAGAGGTCCCGCAGGGAAAGAGGTCCCTGGGGTCTCTGATCTGCACAGCTACTCACCCTGTAGTAGTCAGTGCTGTACACGTCCCGGGACATCCCGAAGTCCCCGATTTTCACCAGCAAATTCTCCCCGACCAGGCAGTTCCTGGTGGCCAGGTCGCGGTGCACGAAGTGCTGGGACGCCAGGTAGACCATGCCCGCGGCGATCTGCTGGGCTATATGCAGCATCTGTGACTGCGTCAGCTCCGTGGGCGGGTTGCCCTCAGCCATCAGCACGGCGTCAGGGCCGTGTGCCCTGGGGGAGGACATGGAGAATGAAGCTGGGGGCCTCAGCATTTTCACTCCAGGGACCCTTTGCCCCTGCCCCTCCCCGTCGTTTCTGCTAAGCTCCTCACCCCCACCCTTTAGCTGCTGGTGCTAAAAGATGCTGCCTGACTTAGCATGTAGAGGAGACAAAGGTGCTTCACACAGTCATACTTCTGAAGTCCCGAGAGCACCCAGGCTGCTCTGTTTCCCAAAGATTCCGGAATTCCCAGGACCCCATGGGCCTGAATATCCCCCTTCCCTCCAGTGCGCAGACAGGTTGACATTTTAGGCGTTCAGGCACTGGCCCGGGCCCCTTGACCCCGAGAAACAGCAGGTAGGTGAAGGAAGACAAAACCAAAGACAAAACACGGGGGGAAAGATGGACTCTCCTCGAGGGATGGACATGGCAGCCCAGTGGGTCCCCACCTAGCCAGATTATGCCAGACTATGCCGGAGCATCCCGCAACCAAGCCGATTCCTCCAGAGTATCCCCACCAGCACCAGAGCTGGGCAGCCTGCGGCCTTCCGCAGTCCGCCTGATTTGTGGCCAGGCATGGTTTTGAAGCTACCCCTGGCTCTCTCAAGCCCAGTTCAACGACAGAGTCCGAGGGCATTCTCAACCTGGATGTTCATTCCCAATACAAAACACCATTGCCTTCTGTCCACCACTCCTCCAACCTCCGCTCAACACGGGCTATGGCCAACACATACAAGAACTGTTTTGAACCCACAGCCTGTTTATTCTTTTGCTGGGGAAAATTTTATTGTTTACACTATGGGGAGGGGGACTATGATTTTTTAAATCTTATTTTTCTTCTGTCTTACACACCTGGCCTCTCCCCAGCTATGTGATGACTTAGGGCATCCCAACACGCATGTGCTGCAGGGGTGGGAGGATCCGCGTCTTAGGATGCAGCCCTCAGCGCGGCGGGCCCTGCTGTGACATCCTGCGCTGTGAGCCAAGATGGGCGTCATTGCCCCTGGTGGCCTGAGGGGGCGCTGCAGTGCAAGGAATAAAGGCGGGGTTTACTGCCGGGCTCTGCCCTGGCGTGGCCAAAGGGCTTCTCCCTTGGAAAGGAAAGATCTCCCTCAAGACATTTTGAAACACTTGGAATGAATATAGAGGTTTTTGCATAAATGTTAAAGTGGATAACCTCACCTGCAGGGTTTCAGAGCCGTGTGAGTATTTGAAACTGAGAAAGCCAGAATTGTCTGAGAACACATGTCAGGGTTTGCCCTGCCTCTCCGCCCTCCTTCCCCAAAATTACTCAAGCCACAGGCGTATCCCCACTTCCATCCTGGCTCCAGCCTACAGTGACTCGCCTTCCCTTTGATTTCGGGAGGCATTCTGCCACCAGATCTTTCATTCCGGTATTCTAAGGGAATGAGCACTGGACAAGGAGTTAGGGGCTCTCCCAGGCCCACCAGGTCCAGTGCCACGATCCAGGGAAGCCCTTTAATTTCTCTCATGTGCAATTTCTTCATTAGTCAAAAATACAGGGGAATATTATACTGGCCATACATAGACCCTGGCCATGCTGGTGCTTGATATATGGCTTTTGGATGAATAAGTCCCTCCTGTCTCTAAATACCTGGATTTAACCATCCCCTAGGGAGGAGTTTCCTGTTTTTGTACAAGCCAGTCCTAACATATTTCACCTGTACTCAAACCACAACCCCCCAGCTGCCTCTTGTCACATTGAGGAACAATACTGGGAAAATGCTCCAGGCCTTTCTTCAGCTGAAAAGCACATATTCAAGGTAAGAAGCAGCACAGTGGCCAAAGCTCCAGGATATGTGAAATGAATTTGGATCCTGTCCCACACTTGCTGTGTGATCTTGGGTGAGTTACATAACCTCTCTGGGCCTATTTCCTCACTCTGTAAATTGGAGATACTAACTGCCCCTTGCTAAGGGCACTGATGTGAGGAGGATTGACACTGTGTTTGCATAGCACTTCGTGGCCTTTCACAGGAAAACCGGGGAGAAAGGCTTTGCAAACAAAGATTCTCTTTAAAAATGAAATGGAGAGGTGATGTGAAAACACAAGTTCTCCTCTGTGCATTACTTTTTGTAACTGGCCTGTAACAGGGCTCTTCAGGATACCAGAGGGTGAGCCCTTTCCACTTCACTAAAGGTGAATCAGGCCTAACCCTTTCAAGCGCTGAGGTGCCCGGGGAAACTGCCAATGTTTTCACTTGTCTTCCTTAACTCTACTGTGACCTCAGCATCAGAAGGGGCTGGGGTGCACACAAACTAAAGAAAACCTGAAATAAAGACCAAGAGAGTCGGTCAGAATTTAATCTTCATAGATACCATTTAAAGACTAAAATAATTGGTTGATTGGCCACAGCCTTTTATCAGTTCCAGAAAACTAATCTACTGTAAATGTCTCTCAGAGGCAAAGGCTCCAGGATAGAGGAAAAATTAGATGTCAGTGCAAAAGGCCACCACTGCACAAAACTCTATCCTCCAACCCCACACTCTGCAGATGTCAGGAAGCTGGTGGCCCTCTAATGCCTAATGCACTTTGTATTAGTATGTGTGGGTTGGGGGAGACTCCTGGATTTTTAAACAGTCATTTCCCCTGTTTATATCTGGGTATTTGCTGTTCGACTTTTTGAACAAGGCTCTTTAAATAAAAGAAGCCTCTGGATGCTTTCTCTGAGCAGAACGTACTGCTGTAAAAAGTGGGTAGGTGGGTCTGCTGCACAAGTCCTTCAGAGGATCGAAATACAGTTCACGCTGCAATCCTCTGCTTTCACTTTCCCAGGTCCTCATGAAGTCTTAAAAATAAAAACACATTCCATCTCTTCCAGGAGGACATTCCTTAAGAGGTTAAAAAAAAAAAAAAAAAAAAAAAAAAAAAACACCATCAGCTCCCTGGCTTGGGAAGCAAGTAGCAGGTTCATGGGCCTGACTTAGCTGTCCGGTTCTCTCCGTCGTGGGTTACAGCCAGCACTGCACTAACTGCTCCGGCCCCAGGGTTCTATAGCGCACCACTTTCCTTGTGGTCTTTTTAACAACCGCCTCAGCAGAGAGGATGGCAGAGTGGTTAAGATCATGAAGTTTTTGCAGCCAGGGGCTGCAGGTTTGAGTCTCGGCTCTGTCATCTGCTACTTGTGTGATTCAGTTTCCCCTACTGTAACGTAGGAATGATGGCAAGGATGGGTTATACCCTAAAAGATATTAAAATGCTTAGAAAGTTCAATAAACACTAGCTGTTAGAGTTTGAAAAATAGTAGTCTATCTTTCCCCTCATTAGAAGGGAACTCTGGACAGATTCTAAGAGGAAAATTCATGAAACCCTTGCAAGCAAAGACATGTGTTTTATTCCTCATTTCCCACCCTAACTAGCATAGAGCCTGGCCATGCTGGTGCTTGATAGATGGCTTTTGGATGAATAAAGAGAGTAGGGAGACAAGAGAAGACATCTGTCTTTATAGGGCAGAGCTGATGACAGCTGGAGACTTTTCATGGCAGCTAAGTGCCCAGTTCCCTTGCGGAAAGAGGACAGCCTATATTTGCAGCATGTTAGTGCACCTGAGAACTAGACTCTTGGCATGGCAGACCCCTTGTTCCCAGAGTTTAGCAGGTTCTGAAACCAAGCAGGCTAGGTTTCCAATTGCTCCACACCCTGTGCAAGGTGCCAAGGGAGAACCAGGTGCCTGTTCCTTCTGCAAGGCAGGAAGGAGAGCTAGGGAGAAGGAGACGCTGAGTGAGAAAGTGAAAGAATCAAGTTTCAACACACACACACACACACACATACATTCATGTATGTACAGACACACTGTGAGCTCACAGAAGCATTTAATTGCATCCAGGTGAGCACATTTGGACTTCTTATGCTATAGTTTTTGGAAAGCACCATTTTGTATTAGGGAAGTAGACTGGGGCATGGGAACAATGGGAAAATATTTCTCCTAGAAGCAGCCGGACCTCAACCACATTCAACTTTTTTCTTCCTTTCATGTTAGAGCTGACAAGACAATGTTCAAAAGTCATCCCCTGTCCTATCACTTACAAGAAAAATTTTGCTGACATAGGATAATGCATTAGGATTGTCTCAGAATACTGCAAATTGGCCACATATTCCTAATTCCACCTGGCATTTCCTCACCCACACAATCATAGGAAAAGTAGAGAACAGGGATCCAGCCCAGCAAAGAAAAACTAAATTGCACGTGGATCTACGAGGCTAAAGAGGGTAAAAATGATCCAGACGGCACCAACCATGTGATGCCATTTCTAAAAACAGCAGTATGTTCTTGCAGTGATTGACTGATTACTTAAACTGCAGTGTCTGAGTCTTACAGCAGATACATGCAGCTTACTGGGGCTGATTTCTGTGCAAAGCCCTCTTCAGCACCCATGGAAATGAGAGGTAGACAGAGAGTCCTAGGTGTTGCCATCACAAAAAGGTGCCACTTCCCCAGGATTTCAGATCTCTCAACCAAAATGAAGAGGAAATTGCGGCAGAGATGAACTATTGTGAAAGATTATGGGGGCAACCTTTCTTATTACCTCTCAACCCAACAATGCACACACTAGACCTTGAGATGGATTAAATGATACCCCTTTCACAGGTAAGGAAACTGAGCTCAGCAAGGGCAGGCAAACAGCCTTTAACACCTTTCCTAACTGTTGCTATCTACCAAGATATCACAAGCAGCCCATTTGCTAATCTTTCCAAAATGAGGACTAGCTAAATTAAAAAAAAAAAAAAAGAAAAGAAAATTAGACCCAGATAAAACTTAGAGAGGATCCAAGGCAGGCCTACCTGAGAACAAGGTGACTGAGCGAACTGGGGTGGAGGCTCTTTTAAGGAACACCAGCAACTTGATGCCGAATAGGAAGGAGAACCCGAATCTCCCGTCCTCACTATTGGGCCCTCTTACTCTTTAGGTTCATGATAATGTATGTGCCACTTCCATAGAAGCCAAAGCATCACTTGCCTTCCTTCCCCAAGGAGTATCTGGCTCAGCACATTTCTTCCCTTCCTTTGTAGATGCAGGAGAAGAACACTCACTATGGACCCCACCAGGGTGATCACCAACTTCCTGCATCTTATTAAACTCAGCTCTCCTTGTGATATCTCTTACCAAGGCAGCTGGTTTACCAGCTGACATCATTCCTGGCAGAATTCAAGCGTCTGCTCATTGAACGCTCCCTATTCGCTCCTACGCCAAGAGCTTTCTATACTTATTCTAGTTCAGTCCTCATGCCTACCCTGCCAGCTTAAGATTCTCATCAGAACAGCTAAGAGACTTGCCTGAGGCCACTCAGCTAATAATGCCTGGACTGAGACTCAACTTCAGTGTCTGGAGGCCAAAATCCCTACTGGTATCATCATGCAGCACGGTCTCCTCAAAAGTCACCCCTTATATTGTGTGAGTTAGCTTCACTGTTTCAAAGCAAGTTGACCTTTCTTCCCCGATCACAGTCACTTTCAGCCATTTCTCACCTGCTCTATCTCGTGGTTCCTCCCAGTTTCCTATACCCATCACCTGAGGGAAGGAATTTCTTGAGAAGGCACAGCTGAACTAAAACCCAATCAGGGCCAGGTGTGGTGGCTCACGCCTGTATTCCCAGCACTTTGGGAGGCCAAGGGAGGCAGATCACTTGAGATCAGGAGTTCGAGACCAGTCTGGCCAACATGGCAAAACCCTGTCTTTACAAAAATATGAAAATTACCAGGCATGGTGGCACACGCCTGTAATCCCAGCTACTTGGGAGGTTGAGGTGGGAGAATCGCTTGAACCTGGGAGGTGGAGGTTGCAGTGAGCTGAGATCACACAACTGCACTCTAGCCCGGGTGACAGAGTGAGACTCTGTCTCAAATAAATAAATAAATAAATAAATAAATAAATCCCACCCAATCAGGCCAATGCTAGAAATTCAAATGACACCCTAATCAGTAGCCCAGTGACTCCCTTTATAGTCAACATTTTCTCTTTCTTGCCTTGCCTTTTTCTGAAGACCCCACATGCCATAAAACTTCTCAGTTGAAGCTGTCCATCTTCTCATGACCTCAGGGTCTCTGCATAATCTGGAAGACTCCATAATCTGGAGTCTTCAATCAATGTTTTTACCTCCTTTCTGAAGCTTTTCTTCTTTGGATTTTGATCTTTCCACTGTAGATCCTCTGAACTACTGGCCTCCCAGTTATTCTTTTTGTCCTCAGAATAAAGTCCAAGCACACACCCCACCCTTTCAGCCTTGACTTCTCCAGCTGTTTTTCTGCTTCCCTTCCTTACTGTTCATTCCACAGCCTGGGAACTTGAAAACTTCACTCTCACTGGACTGCACTTTCCATTGTGACACCTGGGCACCTTAGCTCTTCCTGTTTCCTTTGCCTTTAATCACACCACATGGCAAACTCCTACAGAACATCTAAGACCCATCCCAAATGCCCATGTCACATACCACTCAATGTAGCAAATGTTCAGTGAATGCAGACTGAATTGAATTGGATCATTTGCATCTCACATTTCATAGAATTCGTTGATTAAGGAAAAAGAGCAAGATTGTCATCTTCTTTTTTCTCTCCTCCTTTCTCTGGCACATGCTGGTGTCATTATCAAATAAGACGCTTCGAGGAAGGTCCAGGGGTCCCTTGTTGCCTCCCACGAACCTGCCCCACTCCTGAACCCTGAAGTCCTGCTCGCTCCTGGAGCCCACCTCCCTGCCTCACTGTACCTGAGGAACTTGTTGAGGTCCCCGTGCTTCATGTACTCGAAGACCATGATGAGGGGGTCGCCCTCCACACAGACGCCATAGAACTTGACGATGTGCTCATGCTGGAGGTTGGTCAGGAGCTCGGCCTCGCGGTGGAAGTCTTTGCGTGCATTGTCACTGGCATCCTTCAGGGTCTGGGGGTGGGCATCAAAAGAGAGGGATTACTTCAGTGGGCCCTATGCTACTGAGATAGGAAAGACATCCATCTCATTTGTTAGGCAAAAGATGAGAAAACAGCGTAGTTCCTAAGGAAATAATGTTTGTGCTAATAACTGAGGAGTAACTCCTCAGGCATATGCAAAGCTTTCCAGCTTACGACACACTTTCACAGAGGTTCTCTCATTAGGTTACAGACAGGAGGTCTTTTTAGGGTCCACATCCTTCCTAATCCTGGCCTGCACTCAATAATTCCCATGGGCTTCTCTCCCTTGTTGGTGCCTGTTGTGCTTTCTGTGATGCGACGTGCAGCTTACCTCTGCTCAGATAAGATTTAAAAACTTTATGTTATGATTCTGTAGCAAGAAGAGTATAGTGAACCTTTGTGGACCCATCTCCAGCTTCAGCAACGATCACTTTGCCTGTCTTTATGTAGCACTGCACAGAGCCTTCTCCAGCCTGTGCTTACAAACACTGCCGGCTCACAAAACACCCCTGCCCAGCAAGCTGCAAGAAGAGTGGTCACGCTGCCAAGGTGAAGATGCCCAGGGGCATGACAGCCGGGTTTTGGTGCCTTTAGTTCTCTGCTCAGATCACTCTGCCACCGCGGTATCATAACATGGCAAAGCTGGCATTTAGTGATGCATATAATGTGCTGAGCTCTTGGCATGTGCCCATCACTGAGCCAGAGCTGTGATGGCATCAAGAAGGCAATGACCCAGATCCTGGCCTCAGGCGCTGATGGGCTAACAGGGAGATATGACATGTATATAAATAACTGCAATTCAAGCTCAAAACCCACTATCCTGAATGAATCAGCACTTGCATCTCTCTCCAGCTCCATCCCTTGTCACTCCTCTCGAAACCCATGCATCCACGTTAAGAACTATCTGCAGTTGCCCCGATAGCAGCAGGCCATGCCTCCCTCCCTCCCTTTGCACATGTGCATTCCTCTGGCTGGAATGCTATCTTGGGTGTGGTCACTGGCATGGGAGGTTGAACTCCCCACCTTTGCCAAGACTGTTCACTTCCTAATCCCGGGAACCTGTGAATATGTTGCCTGATGTGGCAAAAGCAGCTTTGCAGATGTAACTAAGGATCTTGAGGTGGAGAGATTATCCTGGATTATCCAGGAGGGCCCAATGTCATTACAAGGGTCCTTATGAGAGCAAAGAGAGGCCAGGCATGGTAGCTCAAGCCTGTAATCCCAGTACTTTGGGAGGCTGAGGAGGGCAGATCACCTGAGGTCAGCAGTTCGAGACCAGCCTGGCCAACATAGTGAAACCCTGTCTCTACTAAAAATACAAAAATTAGCTGGGTGTGATGGTGGCTGCCTGTAATCCCAGCTACTCGAGAGGCTGAGGATGAAGAATCACTTGAACCCGGGAGGCGGAGGTTGCGAGGAGCCAAGACCATGCCACTGCACTCCAGCCTGGGTGACAGAGGAAGACTCTGTGTCAAAATAAATAAATAAAAGCAAAGAGCTGTAAGGACAGAGGATCAGAGAGGAGAAAAGATGTCACATTTCTGGCTTTGAGGATGAAGAAAGGGGCCATGAGCCAAGAAATGTGGGTGGCCTCTAGAAGCTGGAAATGGCAGGGATACATGCTAGCCTAGAACCTCCAGAAGGAACCAGCCCTGCTAACATCTTGTCTTTAGCTTAGCAAAACTGATTTCAGGTGTCTGACCACCAGAACTGAGATGAATCATTGTGTTGTTTAAGGTGCTGAGTTTGCAGTCATCTGTTACAGCAGCTGTAGAAAACCAATATACCTGGTTAATATCTAGTAGTCCTCCAAGACTCGGTTCAGCTGCCACCTCTCTGGGAAGTGTTCCCTGACCACCCCTCATTGCTGTCACATCCCCTTTGTGCTGCAGGCCAGAGTGGATAATCCTGCTAGGCGCACCTCATACTTACTTCTATCACATCACAGACCACAGTGCATTCCAATTGCATGTTTACTTGCTTATCTCTGGTACAGGCTATGAGCTCCTTGACCCAGGAACTATGCATTTTTGCATTGCCAGCCCTGGGCAGAGCACAGGGCGGGTATTCAACATCTATTTGTGTAATGAATGATGAAGGCCATAAGAACTAAACACTGACAGCAAGAGAGGTCAGAGAGGGAGTGGTTGCTTCTAATTGAGGAAAAGGCATACTTCTCCTGGCAGAAGTGCATGTGAGTAGTGAATCCCATCTCCAGGGAGACTATAGTCAGTCATTAAGGTTAGATGGCAAATGGGAACATCTGTGTTCACTTAAATTTAGTATTGGAATGGAATGAAAGCACTGTCATCTGTCAGATACGTACTGACTGCAAAAGTAAAAGATGATATCCAGTGTCCAGAACACGACCAGGTCCCTGGTGGTCATTTTCTAGATCACGGCCTCGGTGCTGCTCTCCCTGTGGGGACATTCCTGACCTATGCCACCTGGAGACCTTGAATGTGCCACAGGTGGAGTTCTCCAGGGAGCAGATCTGAGCTGGAGATTAGCAGGTGAGGCATTTATTAGGGCACACTCTGGGGATCAATACTATTTTCACTTTACTCTGTGGTTTTCCGAGAAGCGTCTTTATAAGCACCACCAGCTCTGTTTGGAAAAGTGAGTGAATTTGGGTCAGCAAGTGCTCAGGGGCCATAAAGCTTCCATGGGGCTGTTGCCATAGAAACCGCACATTCCTTCATTAAATAACAAAATGAACAGCGGCCAGGAACCTGGGGTCTGGGTCTCTGCTCCCTTGAAGCTACAGAAACTGGGCCTGTCATGGCCCCTGTGCCACCCAGATTTAATTAGTTTAGTGTTTAGCTAGATCCAAACTCAACACTTTTGCATCCCTCTTGCACAGGGAGAGGTGATGCGCTTATGTTGCTGAGCTTCACAGTAGAAAAATAGCAGATGAGATATGGAGGAGATGGAGGAGATGGAGGAGATGGAGGAGATGGAAGAGATGGAAGAGATGGAAGTCTATCTGCTGGGTCCTTCTCCTGGGTCCATGGAGCGAACCGCACACACCAGTGCCTTTCTCACACTTGCACTTGCATAATGGTGTTGGGTACACATCTGTCTCCACTCCTGCCTTTGACAGTTGAAGTGTGTCCTGTCCACCCTTTTATCCCTTGCTGCCTAATCCGGTATCAGGCAACTAAAAGAACCCCTGACACATGAAGTTTGTGCAAAGTAGAGATAAAAGAATGTGAGGAGGAATGACCAGTGAATGATCATCTGGAAAAGTTGAACATGGGCTAAAGTGAGGAGTGAAAATGAAAGAAGGACCAGGGAAAGAAAGCAAGTAAAAGAACCTGCTTCCAAGGCTGAGGGGAGCTGCCCAAATGCACTCTCTCCAGGAGAGTTGGCCCCAAACTTGTGTTCCCCTTCCAGTCAAAGGACAAATCCTCACAATGGTGGTGCTCAAATGGAAGGGGTCCTAGCTTAGCATCAGAAAAGGCAGGTTCAAATCCTGGCTCTGCCCTTGAGCTCTCTGACTCTGGTTTTCTTCTTCGAGAGTGAGGATAACAATATCATCATCTACTCCACAGAGACACGAGGAGAATGATGCAAAGTAGTGTAAGTTGGGATGTTTTCCTTGGTAGAGAGGGACATTTGATGACTTCAATTTTAAACCACAATCAGTCTTGTATTCAGTTTGCTCACATAAGAATCCAAGAAGGTCAAAATATGCATGAATAAGGCTCAAGGGCCAACCCAAGACATGAGAGCAGCGGTGCTACTGGAGCCACAACTTCTTCCCAGAGGGCTGTTCAACCTCCCGAAAGTATCAAACTGCACAAAGAGATCCAGCCCTTGGCCTGCAATGTTTTTTCAGAGATCCAGTCTCTATAGAGGATGCTCTGAGTCACTGAGATTGCTTATTTCTAAGGCACATGCCTATCTTTTCCAGTGAGTTGGAAAACGTACTGACCCTTGAAGGTCATTATCACAAGGCATGAACAAATTTTGTGTATAATTTTTCTGCTCAAGTTTTAGCTGTGTAGTATTGATTCAAGAATGCTAGATTGGGCCAGGTGTGGTGGCTCATGCCTGTAATCCCAGCTACTCCGGTGGCTGAGGCAGGTGAATGGCGTGAACCCGGGAGGCAGAGCTTGCGGTGAGCGGAGAGCACACAACTGCACTCCAGCCTGAGTGAAAGAGCGAGACTCCATCTCAAAAAAAAAGATAGATTGCCTGTGTGTGTGTGTGTGTGTGTGTGTGTGTGTGTGTGTGTGTGTGTGAGAAAGAGAGAGAGAGAGAGAGAGAACAAGGTTTTCTTTTTTGAAATGCCAACCTGAAAGAGTTAAGAAGCATCTAACATTTCCATGTCCCCAAAGCAAAATATGGAAAAGAGCCCATTCTCAGTGCAATGTCAAAAACTGTGCTTCAGTAACATTTTTGAAATTGAGAGAAGAGATTCCACTATTCATGGGGCAAATGCATCTCACAAGCCTGGCCTCATCCAACATGCCCATCCATTTTCGCATGTTGGGTCTTTTTTCTAAATTATGATTCAATTCTATTTTAAGAGATTCAGAAAATATGGCGGTAACAAGTTGGGCAAAATCATCTTCTGAATTTGGCACTGTAAGGGCAGAATTTTTCTAAGGGTGGAACCATAGCCAGATAGCAATCAGAAGCTGGAAAATCCTGCTATCAACCCTATTTATAAAAATCATCTCTGTTTTAGTACTATGGCTGATTGTCATTTTACTCAATTATGCAAGGCTTGGCTGGTTCCCTGAGTCCCTTGGCAATGCACTGAGGCCATGAATACGGGGTGGCAGCTTCCTCACTGACAGTCTCTCTTCTTCAGGTTCATTTTGACAAGCATATTTGCCCGATCACTGAGCATTGCTATTTTCTTACTCCTAGTGTCTGCTTTGTAGTTTCATTTCTTCTTATTCCTGGTGAATTTCCTGACACCCCGAAGCTGCCATCTTTTCTGAAGATACTCTTAAGGAGAGGGCTCCTGCAGAGCTATAG